ATTCAGAACTCGTCTCAATTTGTGACAAAACTTTTTCTTACACATCAATTGAAAATTTTTTTATTTCACCTAAAGTTCATAATCTTAATGATTCCTGGTGTCATGCCACTTCTGATTTGAATTCTGTTATAATTTCACCATCAAACAAAAATTTCGGTTATTTAGATGAAAAACATCAAATAATTATTGGAAAAAGTGACACCAATAAAGACACGTTTGATACAATTGTAATTGCCAATCGAGACATAGAACACGCATCAATTCCAAAATTCATCAAATACATCAAGCCGTATGCATTTGAATGCTGCACGAAATTGAAAGCAATTGAATTTTCAGAAGACTCAGAAATTGTTTCAATTGGTAAAAAAGCTTTTGGATCAACAAATATTGAAAGTTTCTTTATTCCATCAAGTCTTGAGAAATTAGATGGATGTATTAATTATGAATCAAAATTGACAAGAATAACAATTCCACCATCAAACAAAAATTTCGGTTATTTAGATGAAGAACATCAAATAATTGTTGGAAAAAGTGACACCAATAAAGACATATTTGATACAATTTTATTTGCCAATCGAGACATAAAACAGGCAACAATTCCATGCTTTATTAAATACATCAAATCATATGCTTTTAATAGATGCGACCAACTTAATCATGTTGAATTCTCTGAAAATTCTGAGCTTTTGTTTATAGGCAAATATGCCTTTTGTCATACATCTATTGAAGTAATAACAATTCCAAAAAGTGTCACAGAAATTGAAAAATATGCTTTTTGTTCTTGCAATGAACTTAAGAAAGTTTCACTAGAAGAAGGATCAAATCTTATTTCATTAGAAAGAGGTATCTTTTCATTCGACGGTAGACTGACAACATTTGAAATTCCAATGGATTCAAAATTGCAGCATTTTTGTGCCAATGTATTTATGTTAAGTAGTATTGAAAGTGTCTACATTCCAGAAAATGTTGATAGAATTGATTCAGATTGGTGTTGTGATACTAAAAAATTGAAAGAAGTTAAAATTTCACCATTGAACAAACACTTCAAATATTTGGATGAAGAACATCAAATTATTGTTGGAAAAAGTGACATTAAAGGAGAAAAATTTGATACAATTGTATTTGTCAGTCGAAGATTGGAGAATATAATAATTCCAAAATACATCAAGTACATATTATCATCTGCTTTTGATGATTGCAAATCAATAGAAACAATTTCAATTCCCGAAGATTCTGAACTTATTTCAATTCCAAATAACTTTGCTTCTAAATCCATTAAAAGTCTCTTCATTCCACAGAGTGTTGAAGCAATTGAAAATTCATGGTGCCATAATGAAGACAAATTGAATAGTGTGGTCATTTCACCATCAAACAAAAATTTCAGTTATTTGGATGAAAAACATCAAATTATTGTTGGAAAAAGTGACACCAAAGGAACAATTCCAAAAAGCATTGAAGTCATTCAAAATGGATTATTTCAATACAAATTGTAACTGTTTTCACAAATTGTGCATTTGATACAATTATATTTGCCAACCGAGACATTCAACAAATAACAATTCCAAAACATATTAAATACATCAAAACACATGCATTTTATCATTGCCAACAACTCAAACATTTTGCAATTGAAAATAATTCTGAATTGGAAAAAATTGGCAAATTCGCATTTGGTCATTCATCATTAAAATCAATCATTATTCCAAAGAATGTTAGAAAAATAAGCAGATGTGCTTTCTTTTCATGTGATGACCTTGAGAAATTTCTACTTGAAGATGGATCAAAATTGGAATCGTTTGAAGATGATTTGTTCTTTTCATGCGATTCACTCAGAGAAGTTTCAATTCCAGAAGATTCATCTCTACGTATAATTAAAGAAGATGCATTTGATTTTTCATCAATCACAAGCTTATTTATTCCAAAAAGCATTGAAGTCATTCAAAATGGATTATTTAGATATGCACAATTTGTGAAAACAGTTACAATTTCACCACTGAACAAAAATTACAAATATTTGGATGAAAATCATCAAGTTATTATTGGAAAAAGCAGCATTAAAGAAAAAACATTTGACACAATTGTGTTTGCTAATAGAGATATCAAAAATGTGTCAATTCCAAGGTCTATCAAATTCATTTCTGCAAGTTCATTCATGAATTGCAAGAAACTCAAAAGAATTGACATTCCTGATGATTCAGAAATCGAATCAATTGGTGAAAAAGCTTTTGATTCTACTTCTCTTGATAATTTTAAATTTCCAAGAAAAATATGCAAATATGAAAATGAGTTTTTGAGTTCAAGTACAAAAATTCGTTACATTGAATTTCTTGGAGATGAATTTATTGATGATGAAAATGACAGCTTATTCAAAGAGCTACAAAAATTGGTTCTTGTTTCATTTCCGAACATTCAAAGCCTTTCTATTCAATTTAATCAATATATATTTCACTTTCCAGAGGAATTCTCACTGTTCATTAATCATGGTGTTGATGTAGACTTGACTGTCAAAGAAACTTCAATGCCATTTCATTATATTTCCAGTGATTCGTATAGCGATTTTTACTCAGACAGTGATTAATTCTTTTTAAGGAACATAATTTGCAAGAGAAACAAATCATTGAGAAATTGCTGACCTTCTATTATATGGACCGATCAAAGCAAAAAAAAAAAAAAAAAAAAAAAAAAAATGTATGCGCATACAAATGTCTTAAATAAATATATTTAACTTAAATCTAATTCTTTGATATATAAATATAGTGTAACAAAGAGCAAATAAAATTTATTCATGTAAGATAAAGTGTTTTTCTTAATTAAAAAATGATTTTTTTTTTTTAATATTTAAAGGTAAGCTAAATTTTTTCTCAATTTAAACCACAATACAGTTTAAAGTTTTTAAATTGAGCTATATTAAATTTAAAAATTCTACTTTGATAATCAATCTCAAATATTGAGAACAATTTTGATATCAAGAAAAAAAAAGTTTTCAAATATTTCGATTAAAAAAAAAAAAAGTCAAAAATTTCGATTACAAACACATTTTATTTTGGAACACGAGAAACTCTAAATGAAGATTGTGCTCTTTTAGCATGCACAAACTCCTTCACCATTATCCCGTTTATATTCAATTTAGATGGTTCCCCTTCTCTCCTGAAATCGACAAGCGCCTGCTTTGTTCTCGGCGTTGCCTGAATTGGCTTCTTCTTTACTGGGAGAGTTTTTGCCTTTAACGATGCTGACATTCTGCTTCTGTTGTCGGAATTGTCCTCAGTCACGTAGAAGCAAGGGTATCCTGTTTTGAGGGACTTTATCAATTTTTGAATGGGCTCAATCAATTCCTGCATTTTGAGAGATATGTAGTCACAAGTTCTTCTAGTATGCTCTTCGAAGCAGTCGATCTCTCTCTTCTGCTTCTCAAGCAATGTTTGGTAGCCTGTTCTGATTGCCTGATTAATTCTCTTCTCTGCCTCAATTGTCTCTAGTTTCTTCAATTCGTCCGCTTTTTGCTTGATTGCTTTTGCTTCTGCGAAATTCTTGATCAAAGCGAGATTCTTCTGCACTTTTCGGAGTTCAATGAGCTGCGACGATGGCTTCTTAAACGGTATCAACATGCTGTCATGCGTCCACTTTTCGTGATACATTTCGCGCTCTTTTTTATGACGCTCATTAATTTTTGAAAGCTCAACTTTTTGACGGTCTTTGTACGTTTGTAGCAGCTCCTTCCACTCATGGGTCTCTGTATCGAGCTCGTTCTGCGCAACTCTTATTTTCGTCTCAATCGCATTAATGGCATATTCCGACTTTTTCTGAGCATAATTGGCCTGTATTAAATCTCTCAAATATTTCTGAAGTTCTTCCATTTTCGCAGCTTTGTCGTACTCTTCGTTTATCATGGCTGAGACTCCTTCGCGCTTCATCATGTAGAAGACTTGCTTCTGTATGTCACTGGGAGGAATCTCGCCATACTCAATTAGACGGTTCATGGCGTTTTGAATAGGATCGGCGGTTACTTCTAGCTTGATTTCGTGAGGTGACGGACTAACGTCAGTTACGATGAGACCTGAAACTGGCGTCGGAACTTCAGATGGAGAAACAGTCGTGTTTTGAGTAGGAATATTGGTGACGATGGAACTTTTTGAATCACGGGAACTTTTTGACTGCTTTGAATTTGATTCTGGTTTTTGAGAGTGGATTTGGATTGGATTTTGATCCATCGGAATGGGTTCAAATCCCTGATGCTGCTTGACTGTCGTTGGACGAATATGAAGGGGATCATATAATCCTCGATATATGCTACGGCCTGAAGTAAAGTTGTTATTGTTGTTGTTGCTAGTATATAATGGTTTCCGGGGAGTATTTGAACTGTAATTGGTAAAATCTGAGTTGTTATATTTTTTACGTTTATCTCTTAAATTATTTTCTGGGCGTGTAAAAAGAAAATCGGGTTCAATAGAATTTTTCGGTTTTTTGCTAACTTTTGTTTTTGTTTTGGCTCTAGATTGTTTTGGGTTATAGTCAAATTGAAACTCATTTGATTCTAACGAAGTTGAATCTGTATTATCATTGTAATAAGAATTTTTTGATTTACCTGCTCGCGTTTGGGATATTGAAGAATCAGAAATTGTAGTAGAATCAGTAGATAATAAATTATGATTTTTCGCATTATCGAAATTTTCTTGAAAAAAAGAAGGTTCTGATAAATAATCCTCCAAATGTTGTTGATCTTCTTCATTTTGATCAAAATCATCAATTTTGTTGACATTATTTTTCTTAGGTTGATAAAAATCTGAATCAGATAATTTTACAGATGTCGAGTCTGTTTCAATATTACCAATTACCACGATCTCCGTATTTTTGACTTCAATTTCTTGACTCATTTTATAAAAAAATAAATGTTTAAATTTGAAATAACGTATAAATTATATGGTCAAAAAAAAATGGTGAATTTTCTATTTAGATATTATTTTAAAGTAAATGATAAAAATAATTTTCATACAATCAGAGGGTGATTGGTCTACCGGTAAGATTCTCGCTTCGGGTGCGAGAGACATCGGGTTCGATTCCCGAATCGCCCCTTTTTTTTTATGAAAACTTTTATATTTTTCCTCAATCAAAACTTAAAGCCATCATTTTTTTAAAATATTCAACTCAAACCGAATATATCATCTAGAATTTGTTTGATATTTAAAAAAAGTTAAATCTATGTAGCATAAAACCAAAAAATACAATTTTTTTAATCACATTGAAAATAAAATTATTTTTAACTTAATGATTAGAAAAAGGAAACGTATTTGAATATGAAATAATGTATTATGCAACTAAAAATAAATAGCATTTCATGATATTTCACATTAAATGATTTCCTAAAAGATTGAATAGCTCAATGAATTATCAATTAAAAATATTTAATTAAAAATAAAAAAGTTTTATATGTGATTTATTAAATAGAGAAAGAGATATTCATAAATTTTCAAAAAACATATAACGTATTTTTGGGAGGAACGTTCAAAAAGTGTACACACTTGAGAGATTTACACATTTCCCACAAAGAATAAATTGAAAAGAAATGATAAAATCTTTTTAAAATTGAAATAAATATTTTGTGTCAAATAAATTGAGAGGAAAAAAAATGGGCTGACATTTGAATCTATTTTACTTTAATGTTGAATCTTGATTTAGATGAAGATACACATGAAATCTCAAATACTGAATCAACACAACAAATTAATGAAATGCTCTTAGATAATATTGATATTGATCAAGCAGACGATAAAATTAAACAGGATAAAAAAAAATATACTCCACTCCCAAATAATAAAAAAAAATTATACATTAAACCAATCAGCGATTACAAACTTAAATGGATTGTTGATAATTTGACAATTATTTTCTTGGATAAAGTTGATAATGTAACTGTTTATGTATCAGTTCCAAAAAAAAAGTACCAATTTTTTGATAAAAAATGTAAAAAGCCAAAGAGTAAAGTAAAGAAATTTAATTTAAAAAATAAAGATGAGGCCGATTTGTATGAAGCTGCCAAAGAACAATATCAAGAATATAATTTTAGGTGCTATTGCTCTATTTATTAAAAAGAAAAAGTATGTATCATGATTTGAATAAAGTTTTAAATAGATTGACACTTGTCCGTTTAAAATTTTCAATTATAAATACGTTATTTTTTTGATATTATATTTTCATTTTTATCTTGATCTATTATTATTATTTTAAATTAAAAATGTTTTAAATGATTTAAAAATAAAGTGATAAAATATTAAAATGTTTTCCAAAATAAATAAGATTATTTTTGAATGATCATAAAATTAAAAATTTTTTTTTAATTTGCATATAGATTTGCCACATAATTCCCATCAATTATATTAACAAGCAATACCTGGAATTCCAGTCTATTTTTCACTCCCTCTTCTGCATTTATTTCTCCATATTTTAATGCATCTCTTACTCCTTCAGAATTGAAAAAACCACTTTATATTTGGCCATAAAAAAAGGTGAAATTTTAATTATCAAAAAATTGTTAGAAAAAGAAGCAATTAACATCAATCTAACAGCAGAACATAAAGAGCCCAACATGTATTCAGATAATAAAAAAACTCCTTTATTTTTGGCGGTTGAAAAAAGTGCATAAAAAATAATTGACCTTTTGCTGTCAAATCCAAACATCGATGTTATTGAGTACTCAACAACATCAAATGATAATAACATTTTATTTGATTCTAGAAGCAAATATCAAGATGAATCTTCACCTTTGCATTTGTCCATTATAAAAAGTGACATAGATTCAATCAAGCTTTTATTAAACCGTCCATACATTGATGTTAATTTGCTCAATAAAGAAAAAAATTGTGAGAAAACATCTTTGTTTTTGGAGGTTGAAAAACGTGACAAAAACAAAGCCAAATCAAGAATCAAAAATAAGGAACAATGTAATTTTATCTTCCCAAATAAATATGGAAAAGAAGTTGTTGAATATTATGGCTCAATTTATTATAATTGGATGACACCTCTGTATCTTGCTCTTGATTAACAATGAAAAAGTTGACATCAATAAAATCATGAAAACTGATTCAAAAATAATGAATAAGACATCCCTGCATTGCACCATTGAAGTGAAGTATAAATATGTTGAAATGTCACTTTTGAGCTTTGCTATTAAGAATGGAAATTTGGAGACAATCAAAACAATGATTGAAGAGAAAAAAGAAAAAATAAACTGACAAAATAGTAAAAATATTGAAAGAGGAAATCATTTTTAGGATGATTAATACCCCAAAACACCCAGAACAGAAATTGTTAAATACTTGAAGATAGATAAGATTGTTTCCAGAATGAGACACCATTTATTTGGAAAAGAATTTTAAAGATACAATTACAATAATAAATGTCTTTTTTGGCTTTATTCCATTAAGCATTTCTATAAAATAGGTACCGAAATTAATGCATTTGATGAAAACATAAAAAAACTTGTTTGGTAGAACTCAAAACACGATTTTATTTCATTTTTGAGGATTTTTAAAATAACTTTATTCTTTGTTATAAACAAAATTTTGATTTTTATGGGAAGACCGTTTTATAAATCATTTTTTATAAACTATTCAAATTAATAAATAACGTAAAATTTTTACTTTGAAAACTTCAAATACCAATCATTATACTAAACATTCGTTTTAATTAAACATTAATAATTAAAATGTAAAAAAGGTCTAGTGATCTTGTTGAAACTTTTTGATAGCTTATGAATATTTAGCACTGAAAAATTAAATTCAATTCAAATTATAGCTTCTATATTGAAAAATTCCGAAGGTTTTTTATATTGTTAAATTAAATGTTAGCAGATCAACATCAAATAAATAATTTGATTGAAGAACGAAATGAGAAAGGACAACTTGCTAGTCTACATGGGACAGATACAGAACCAGAGGCAGAAACAGAAATTGAGAATGTACAAAGACAAAGACAAGTAGAAGAATTAATCAACGGAGAAGAAAATAAAATAAGACATGGAAAGAAAAATAAGAATGGATTCTCACGACTTATTGAAAAACTTCCAAGTTATGAATACGATATTCCAAAGAAAGAAAGGAAACCAAAAAGAAGAGTCGCCAAAAAAGAAGATGATGAAATTATTCCATTAGACATTCGGAATAGTGACAATAATCGATTTGCTAGCTATTCAGATGCGTTTTATTATATTGCTGATCATTGTCATAAATATCATAATAGATTTACACGTGATAAATGCCATCAATATCTTAAATATTGTTATATAATTGATTTTTCACATGATGAATTCATTCCAATCACTAGCACAATCACTAATAAAGAATTCAACAAATATTTCTTGAAGACACAACGGGAATTGAAATATATCTAGCTACAACGTTATCAACTATTTCAAACTGATAAAAAATATTGATTTTATAGTAGTCTCCATTTTTATTAATTAATTTGTTATTTTTATTTACTATTTAAATAAAAGGCAAAGAATATTATCATTAGTAATTATCATTTTTCTTGTAAATAATATTTTTTAATCATTTTGTTATTATTTTCGGAAATTAAGATTTCATAAATATCGATAGATAATCTGAAAAATATTTCTTAATGATTTCATTTAAAAATATTTTTTGTATGAATCCACTTTTTTCTCGTTTTCTGGTATTAATGCCTATAGAAACTTATCATGAAATATCATTTTGAAATTTTCTTTTAAAATTTTGAAAACTACTCATAAAAAGACGATACAAAATTGGATTCTCAAATCTTCAATTATTCATTTCACAAACAATTAAGTATTTTTCTAATAAAAAATTATTTAAAAATTTATATTATAAAATATTTTATTAAAAAAATAAATATATAATACAATTGCACGTTTTGTATTAAGATATAATTCAAACTATAATTTCTACTGAAATATTTAAAGAAAATGTAATACTTAAAATATCTAAGGATAAAAAAAAGAAATCTATTAGAATTTCCTTCAATTCATCGAATATAATGATCAAATAAAATATTTTGATATAATTAACTAGATTATTAAGCAATACAAATATGAAATGAATCAACAAGAATTCTTATCGATAACTTATATGATGAGAGAAATCTACAAAAATAATTTCCATTTTCCAAATCAAATAAATCTCCTTGAAAGTTTTCTCAGTTATTATTTAGATTATATATAATATCATATTAAACTTTTTGGATAATGAAGTATTCAAGATTTTCAATCACAATTCATGATTCTTCTTTTTCTTTTCAAGGATAAAAAAATTAATATTAGTGTTTACATCGACATTTCTACCTATGAAATGTCCAACTCAGCAAAAACTAATCCAGCATTTGCGAGCAATCTTACTCCAGCTACTCATTCAAAGGTAACAGTTGACTTAAAAAATTCTGATAACAATTTAGTAGGATCAAAACATACGGCACATTATGCAAAAGAATGAAATGACATTGGATACACAAATGATCCGATTACTTTGCCAGGCTGATGATTGCATCGCTGAAGAACAAAGTAATCGATCACTTGGAATACCAACTGATGCAGCTCTTATTCCATTGATTTTTCTGAATCTATGTATTTCACTCAATCTATAAAGTTCACATATTCATTTGATTTTACTTAATCTAAAAGTAAATTAGTTTCTTGTGAATTATTTTTAGCTTTTAAGTCAAATTCTGTTTGTTCCATTATGAATTTCACCAGTACTAAATGACCTATTTTACAAGTAAGGCAAAGCTTTGCCGCTTTATCTAAACGGAAACACAGCTGGTCTTTCATTTGATTGTGGTTATGATTTAACACAAATAGTTTCTATTGTTGAAAATCACGTAATACCTGATTCTATTATTCGTCTCAACATTGGAGAGGAAGATTTAACTGCAATGCTGCAAAATCTATTAAATTCACGCGGTTACTCATTTCAAACATTAGAAGAAAAAAAAGTTGTTCGTGATATTAAAGAAAAACTACGTTATGTTGCAAGCATTTATGATGATGAAATTAATAAATCAAAAGATACATCTAAATACCAAATTCCTTATGGTGATGAAA